CATATGTGAGCTGATGTGATGTCAGCTGATGTGCGTGTGATGTCTTAATAAGTCATCTCTTCGAGACTAAGATTGACATGATGAGCCACCACAAGGAACTAGGGGCAATCATTGTACTGGATATTTGTGTTGTTTCAGATTTTGTACCGGTGCGGCCTGTTCAGAACTCGAAGGCTCTGAAGAAGTTTCGAAACTTTTGAGCAAAATAATGGTAACGTTTTGTTTGTTCCTAAGACGGCTTTACAGTGAATTTGAGTTCACTTCCATGAGTGCTTGGTTCAAAACTAGCAAAGAACTGTCACTTATTATCGGATGAAGAGCTGAGCTTTTCTTGGTTTACCTTTTTCCCCTTTTTCGCGGCCTTAATCACAACGCTTTCATCCCTTGTCTCTTATAAGTCAACACCACGCTCACCTTCAAAGGCTGTCCTTGTCGTGCACCGGAAGAACTGGTTGGACACTTTTGCCACCTAGGAGAGCGCGTAAATAAGGCCCTAGGGTATTGATACCCGTGCCGTATGCGCGTATTGCGAGATGGCGCGGGTGCCGTATGTGACTCCACCCGCGCTATCTCCAAGTGTATAGCCTACTTCGATATCGAAATCTCGCTTCAAACACGCATTCAAACGTAGGACACAGCAACTCGTATAAAGGCGCAGACATCTAACGCATCTGGCTATGGTTTGGTATGTGGCTGGCCGTGCGGCAGCGCTGGAGGACGGAGTAAGGAGCCGGCACGCGGGTATCACACCCTCCAACACTGTCCCATGCAATTTTGAGCAGAGAAAATGCACGCGCTACGTTCGCGGACTGTCACCTTGTAAGGCTGCCGCGAAGTATAAACGCAGCCTAATAGCGAGGACTAGGATCCTCAGAGGTGAGTGTACAAATTGTCCGCAATGTACATTGTGATCAGCCGTTCCTTCTGTACAGAATTTTAATATATGATAATTTTCTGTTAAGTGTTGAATCGAATTTACACTCAGATGAGGGATTCTTGGTCCCAGCTAGGACAAAATCGTCTTGTTTCTTTTCAGACGTTCAAATTCGTTCCATTAGTATGGCTGCACCATCTGATGGACGCAAGGAAAATTGGTGACTCAATTGTACACATTTTTATTCTCGTCGCTATGGCGGTGCAGCGTATGCAGGAAAATATGTCAGTCGATCACCAGTCGAGCTCTGTCTTGCAAAATGAGGCGCTCCTTTTGGACTTTGCTTGGGAGCGGCTAAATACGGGTAGATCGGATACTTTGCATGGTTGCGTTTTGGAAATGTAGAACAAACATTTCAGGGCATTTCTCCGAAGTTGATCAGTGTTGGAGGCTTCTTTATGCTGCTACTTCATTGGTGAAGTCCGTACGATTGGCTTCGGAAGAACAGTATTTGGTTGGTATTTCTGATAGGGAGAAAGAACGGCAGCGGCAATAATCTCAAAGGCCACACTTGTAATTCAGAGATCGAGCTGAGCTCTAGCCAGCCAAGCTTCCATTAACTCCGACTCGCTCAAGTCAAAAATTCTTCTGCCAGAAATAGAACAACTATTTCCAGATGGGCCGACCCTCGTAATCCATTGAACGGTTCTGATATTGGCTCCAGTGTCTCTGACATTGCAAATGAAGGTAGAATACGTGGCGCATTCCTGAGCGGTAGATCGACGGTAATTGGATCACACTTTCCATCTGATTATGAGCAGGACATTTTCAGTGTATTAGCCATCGTCCAGTCTATTATTTCGAGTTCAGCAAGAGACACTATTTGGGAAGCGGAAAAAGATATTTAGGTGTCAGATTCAGCGCCTTTATTAAGGGTTCTTGACTTCTGAGTGCAGACTCTGAGGTGTTCTCAAGCCGCCTAGTTCTCTGAGTTTCTTAAAAAAAACAACAAAATAAAAATTGGAAACGGAAATCAAGCTGGAATGGCGTGTAAGAGCGAGAGTAGCAACAGGCAGATGAAAAATCTCAACAGTTTCCAGGTCTGTGCCATTCGTTCTGAGAAGAGTTTTCAGCCGTGTGTTGTCATAGACCGAGCCCACTGTCCCATGGAAGAGTCAGGGGCTGGGTTTTCGCGCTAGTACACCTTATTTTCCCAGCAGTGATCCTTTGCCCCCCCCCCCCCATTAACAGTTAAAGGAGCGGTCCCCGGTGACCTGAAAAAAATGCAAGAGGTTATGTGGGAAGGTAGTGCGGTCCGGAGTGGACAAACCTATGCCATTTTTCGCTGGGTTGGAAGTTAGTTGCGCGGTTAAGGAAGTAGGGCGCAAGTTGCAGTGGGACTCGCCTTCAGGCTCGCCTCTAAATTCAGCCTTTCCAGCCAAAGTAATTGCTTCGGGCAGCTTCATTAGTGGTGAATGCTTCAAAGTCTCTCGTAGAGTCATAGGGTTCAATACTGAGAATCAGTCGACGGAAATCGTCCCGGCGCGCGGTCTTTTGGTCTTTTACCTCTACAGTTGTTTGAGGGTAGAGGACGCCTGACGAATGCGTTTCCGACATTCCCTTTAGCATTTTCTCTTCATGGGCGGTCACTTGGCAATTGTTCATACCATATTTCTGCACATCACACCTAGGCTTTTTATCGCGAACTATGCCTTTAATACACACTATACTGTCGCCAAACTAACCTTCTTGACACATCTCAGCATCCGTAGCAAACAAAACAATATGCAGCAGCACGCTCGCAGTGCTCTCAAAGGCAGTCTTCAGCCATTGAATTGAATGCGACCGATTTCAGCAACACCATCGCCCCTTCTTTTTTAGAATGCAATCGCTGCGGCTGATTTTGGCTTGCTGATGGGAGATGGAATCCCGGATCAACTCCTGCAGAGATATGCTCAGTTTTGTGACAGCCTTCTTCCGGCTCCATCAAAATTTACAGAAAGTGATGTATGAATTTGAGGATTTCCCATTTTTGAGCAGTTTTTCAAAAGTTTGTTTCTACTGTTGTGCAAACACACCTTGTTTAGCTGGTTCTCTCGGTACCAAGAAGTTTACCCAATTCTGTCCCTATCAAGACGTTTGACGAACTGTCAAAGTGGGATTTCATTGATCAGTTTCTCGCACGAGCTGAACCGGTCATCGTCAGAGGCCTCAACAACCACTGGCCAGCATGTAGAACCTGGAAGTGCGTTTTCGTTCAACATCTTTCAGATTTTCATTCTGGTTGGATCAGTTACATTTGTGGGAAGCTTTGTCGGCAGTTTTTACTCTTTACTGCTCCACTCTCGAAAACCAGTTTTTGGTCGAAATTTATTGAGTAGAGTTGGCTAGAATTTCATCCCTCTGTACCGTTCACCCCTGAAGACGAGTATCACATTCGTTTGACTGAAGACCGGGTGGCGTCCGCGCTGCAGAACACCAAGGTTGTTGAAATGCAACATTTCCTTAGGGGACCAAAATACTGCGGGCTATGTTTTGATCCAGTTGATCGAAATCAGGCTTGATTCCCGAAGAATGCGGCTGCAAATGATGAATAGTGCCGTATTGTTCTCTTATCGATCACTGATGTATTACAGCTTCGACTACCTTCATCGAAATTCTTTGCCGTCGCGTCGTTCCTGTAGAACAGGGCTCTAAATATACGGACAATGACTGGGCTCAAAAACTCATGACCGGCTCAGAATTCTTCAGTTCACTTCGTGAAGATCAGGTGAGGAGGGGAAAATGCTGCAAAAGGACGCCGATACCAGTAGAAAACTCTGAACCACCTTTAATCCCCGTTGAAATATACTCAGCTACCTTAAAGCCATTAAGTTTATTAAATGTGAAGTGAATTGAAGACACAATAGTCCATGTTCGACTTTCTTGCAGTCTTAGCATGAGGTATACAGGGGGGGGGCAAAAAAGTCACTTCGACCGAGTCACATATCAGCAAAGTTTTCGCTGCCCAGACAGAGGACGTGGATACGAGTACCAGGGCGGAAGATACCCAAGATGTTCCTCTATAAGCAGGAGCTGGCTCTCGCCCATCACCTTCATGTACACCAAAATATGAAGTCATCTCCAGTCGCAGCCTGACTGGAGAAGACCTTTGGAATTCATGTCACCTCCAAACAGCTGCGAAACTTCTAGTATGGAGTCACCCATGGATAGCTACCTGGAGACCAGTACTCTCCAACATCGAGCAGCTCCGACAACGTCGCCACGGTCTAGGACATCATCTCC